CAACAGGTGGCAGGGTGGCTCAGCTAAAACAAAAAAAATGTAGCTGATTTGGTAAAGGAATTTTGAATCTAGAATTTTAAATTATGTGTAATAGAACAGTGTTATATTGTATTTTCAATTGTAGTATTATGCTCTTTTAAAAATACTGTTTAACTTTTTGTGTTTGTATCTGCCCTTCTCCTCTCCTACCTTTGAAATAGAAACGACTATGACGATACCATTCCAATCTTGGATGCACTAAAAGTCACCGCCAATATTGTGTTTGGATATGCCACGTAAGAAAATTTTACATTTGTGTTCCAGAGTCCTTTATTCTGCGTTCATTTTTTTTATGGTAGATTAGAAGCCTGGAAATAGCCATAGACATATAGGCGTAAATTTGCCTCCTTGATATTCGTGATAGCAAATTTTAAATAATCGACTTTAGCACTTCATGCCTTGGAATCTTCTTTTTACTAAGCACCAAAGCTGCTGCGTAAAGATTAACTCTTTATTTAGGATGTCTTGCAAGAGGCCCAGAGTAAATGAGGCTCATCAGTATCTAGGAAAACCCCGTGTGGCAAGTGTTTGCTTTTTCAAAAGTGATTCTTTTCTTTTATCTCTTTGCCGTTTTTAAGGTGTCAGGGAGCAGAAGCTTTTGAAATCCAGCATTCTGGATTGGCAAATGGAATCTTCATGAAATTTTTAAAAGATAGATTATTAGAAGACAAGAAAATTACGGTGTTACTGGATGAAGTTGCAGAAGGTAAAATAAAAAATGAAGACGAAGCTACTTGGGGTTCTCAGTTTGGTGATTGTCTTATTCCTGCAGTTACTAGGCAGGTTTGGAGTTAGTATTTATTTTTTTATGTAAGGTTCAGCAACACTCCTATTTAGTTACTTCCTTCTCTCTTGACTGAGCTGCATGCCATCTGGGCAGCATTAAGGCTGACTCCAGACATGATGTGAAATAAATGAAGGTGAATCTTCAGAGCCCTTTCCCATGCCTGGCGCCCGGTGCTGCCCAGTCTACTTTTTGCCAAAACAATTGCTTGATCCACATTCCCTCTCAGCACCAGACAGATGAAACCTCACATAAATTTTGAGGCCTTGGCAGAAAAAAACTGGGTTCTTTTTTATCTTTTTCTTTCAGTAAATCTGCACCTGGACTTTTTCTTGGGAAGCTTTGTGGGTCTTGTTTGTTTGTTCGTCTGTGTGTTTCATTCTATTGTACTGTGAGAGGTTGTTTTGGTTTTTTTCTATTACAATTGACATCCAACATTATTTTTGTATTAGTTTCAGGTGCACAGCACAGTGGTCAGACATTCACACAACCCACCAAGTGATCCCCCTGATAAGTCCAGTACCCACCTGGCACCATCATGGTTATTACAATATTATTGGTTATATTCCCCATACTGTACTTTACAGCCTCATGACCACTTTGTAACTACCAGTTTGTACTTCTTAATCCCTTCCCCAACCCCCCTTCCCACCTAGCTGCCATCAGTTTTTTCTCTGTATTTATAAGTCTGTTTCTGTTTTGTTTGTTCGTTTATTTTGTTCTTTAAATTCCACATACAAGTGAGATCATATGGTGTTTGTCTTTCTCTGTCTGACTGTTTCACTCAGCATGATACCCTCTACGTCCATCCATATTGTGGCAAATGCTACGATTTCATTTTTTTATGACAGTAATATTCTATTGTATATATGTACCACATATATGAGACGGTTGTTTATCTTGTCATCTATAGATGGACACTTAGGTTGCTTCCATGTCTTGGCTATTATAAATAACACTGCAGTGAACACAGGGGTGCCTATAACGTTTCAAGTTAGTGTTTTGTATTTCTTTGGATAAATACCCAGAAGTGGAATTGCTGGGTCGTAAGGTAGTTCCAGCTTTAATTTTTTGAGGAACCTCCATACTGTTTTCCATAGCAGCTGCTGAACTTAGCGGTTTTCACTTTTTGCTTTAAGGACGCGAGCCTCGCTGTCTAACACGGTGTCTTGCATTTCCCTCCACTCCTTCCCCTTCTTGCCTGGTATCATGCTGTGCTCGTGTCAGGGACTCAACAAGTACATGTCACATCAGTAGATTAGCATATATTTTTTGAAATGCCATTTTGTAAGCTATCTCTAAAAGAAGGAAATTCTGTTTCAGACTAGCTCACTAGGAAAATGGAATTTCATGGGTGTCCCAAAGGTGGCAGTTTGAGTATAAGGTATCTGAGTGTTTCACTCTCAGCTTAGTCACATTTGTTTATTTTCATGGTCTTATCAGCGTAGATCTTCTCACTGGGTGGCTGACTGTACCCCTTTCCCATAGTGGTGGGAACATAGACAGACAGCTGGGGCCTTGGACCTCCTCCAACCAGAGAGCTCCTGCTTTTATCTGTTTTGCATATTGAGCTGCCCTGTAAGCTCTTATTTGAAAAAAACTTTCTGCTGCTTAAAAGAAAAAATAAAGCCTTTGGAGCATGTGAGTTATTTTCAAACTGAGATCTGTGAAGTTGCTTCAGAGACTCTGAAATATTTTATTCTAATTTTGTACTTTAAAATATAATTTAACTATTTTAAAATTTAATAAAAAGCAGCAGGTCCCCCGTATATGATGTATACCAAGCATGTATATAGCACAACATGTGTGTTCAGTTCTAAACCTAAAACTTGTCACATACTATTTATTAATACCTGCATGAGTAAAAATTAAAACATGCATGGGAATAGTCACAGTGCACTGGATAATGGTTACTCTGAGTCAGGAGGGCAGTGGTAATGTTTTAACCATATTGATGGTTTTGACACGTAATTTCCTTTTTTAAAAAATAAATAAATCTGTGGTAAAGACAGTGTGTTTTAACTTTCTCATAGATGAACAGTCATATGTTTACTAACTGAATGTATTTCTCAACAGAGTCTAGACATAAAATGACCATGTCTGACCTGTCAATGAAGAAATATGCTTTCAGCTCTTTGTGAATTTCAAGGCTTAGAAAATTAAGGATTCATTATTAGAATGTAGAAGATAAAAGCTAGAAAGGGGCTTTAGAAGTGAGCGGGTTTGGTATTTTTATCTGTTTGCTTACTGCCAGGTCCCTACCACTTTGAATCATGACTGGCACATAGGAAATGGTGCTTAGGAAATTTTTGTTGAGTGAGTAACTGACGTTGAGCATCTAACCTGATTTGGAGGAGAGTTCTTGGCCTAAATATTTAAAACATAATGAAAGGATTGTGGTCTTAAAAATATTTACTTCTTACCTTTTAGATATGGGTAAATGTCACCTCACCAAAGGCAAACAGGCTCTAGAGATCCGAAGCAGTTTATCTGAAAAGAGAGCCCTTACCGATCCAATCCAAGGCACGGGTTATTCGGCAGAATCTCTGGTGCGGAATCTACAGTGGGCCAAGGCACACGGTACCGTAAAGTACTTTTTGTGAGGTCTTTCTATGATACACTTATATTGAGTCATGAAGTTTGACTATGTAGCTTTCCTCCTAATTCTGCATTAAAAATTGTTTAGCCTGGGCCGGCCGAGTGGCGCGATGGTTAAGAACTTGCTTGGGATGCCAGAGGGCCCCGGTTCGGATCCCACATACGAGGGCCAGTTACACTGCCCTCCACAGCTAAGATGCTGAACAACAGCTCAACCTGGAGCTGGGCTGCCGTGGGTCGC